CACAGTTCAGCTTCTTTATGCCTTTTTTCAGCTGTTTTCAGCTATTTTTATCATCGGTCAATCTCACCCCTGGCACGGTAAAGACTCTTTAAAGGAAAACAAAACAGAAACAAACTCCTTTCGACTTATTTCTGTCATCCATTTTTTCATTGTTGATTAAACCTTAAGTAAGAATACCGGAACATGTAGCATATCGGGGAAAAGCAAAATCGGCCTTTCCGTGATTCAAGACTGTAAATATAAATGAAAAAGAAAACGATTGGCTGAAAGAATTATTTTGTTATCTGATCACTGACCACGCTACCTGGAAATCCAAGATATTCCTAGAATCGTTGAAACTGTATTGCAGGCAGTTTGTACATTACATGTGTGTTAATTAACCAGTGATTCCCCTGGGGTGCTGATGAGCATGGTGAGGTGGCAAAATACCGGTACTTCAGACTGAAATCAAACTGCTGGTGGCATCACTAGCTGCACCAACAGATCCTGACTTAAGTATACATGTAGCCCCATGATACAGTTACATTTAATGCCTTTTTTCATTTGAATATGAAAGCAGATAGAGCAAATTTGACTTCAGGACAGATTTGCAGCCAACTTTTGCTCGATCTGAAATGTGTTTGATGTGAACTGACATCAAAATTTGTGTAAAACTTGTGTATGCTATCACAGCAAGTATAAACTGGCCTGTACTTTTGATCCATTTTTCTCTAAAGTAAATCAGTCTTGTATCCTGTGGCTCTTTTGTTTTTTGTTTTTAAGTCTGAGTTGGTACCGTACTGTACACTCAAAAGGTTGGGCGCATGTACACTATGGTAGTTACTGAAATTAACGAGATGGGTAGCCTATGCTACTTACCAGAATTTGGCTGTGAAGTACATGTACTTGCAACTGTTGTACACACTGAGGATTGCTACCCGTACTCACAGAATGTGGGCTGTCGGCTATGCAACCTTGCTTCCTCTCAAGGGAGGAGATGAACTCCCGTGATATTAACACTTTTCTTTCTCAATTCTTGTCTCACTTCCCGGTGACTCGGCAACTGATTGTCCCTCAGCCACCGTTGTTAAGAGCCCAGATCAGATATGTGTGTCTATTAAAATTCACGTGCCTTTTGAGAACCGATCGTGACAGCTGCTGATTTCTATCTTGACGGCATCCGTGCACTGGCCTATATAAATTGGTGGCCTTCAGTAATAGATGGGCCACATGGCCCAAAGAGCTGCTCGAAGGACTGTCCTAAATAAACTCTACATGTACATGTACATGCAGTGTTTTTTCCGTCTGCCTTTGTCGGTCATAAGGAAAACAGGGCTGCCCCTTCCTGGTGCAGAGGGTGTCATCTGCGAATCCCAGCCAATCAAGACGCAGAGGTGAAACACTGCATTGCGCATTAACCAATGGCAGTAGAGAACCTTGGGTGTACATGCACACTGCATCAATTCTTTTGCCTTTTGTTCTGGTGTTTAGAATCTTCATTGTGAATAATATAATAATATAATAATTTGCTGAAATTCAATTTTAACTTTTTGGGTCATCTCGGATCTAGTTCCTTGTAAAATCACTGTTCACTGTCACTCATGATAACTCACCTGTTCGTTGTTCATAGATTATTGAGGTACAGCATTTCTTTTGTATTTTGGAGTACTTTCACATGCATAATATATGCAGGCCCGTTGCCTGACCAGAGATTGGGGGGGTTGTCAAACCCAAAAGTGGAACTTTTGGCACTGTGAACACATATATTTGTATACAAAGGCCTATCATAATGTGCTTTGGAGCACAACATCAAACAAGTTCCATGTTTGTCACGAACCGAAGGATGCATGTAAGACTCGTGTAGACCCCTTACTTCAGTTTTCAAGATTCACGGCGTATTGTAAATTGGCCTGGTAATGAATTTGCTCTTTACTCAGCACCTTGAATCTGGCGCTGGGTGACGGCGAGCGAATGATAGGAACATTATTATTAAAAAATCTCAGAAAATCCCACAAAAAATGTCAGAAGTTCTAAAAAAGTAATACATTCTAGTAAATCATCATTCCTTAAACGTTGCCGTATAAACCACCTGCAGTTCATTATAAACGGCAGAGATATTTCCCGCATGAGAATCAGTGTATAAACTGTGGCTTACATTCAAAAAATTGTAGTATATTAAAATTATATATTTATTACACACCCCCCAAAAAACCACCAACGAGCGGAACTCGGAAACGAGTGGGGGGGGTCATTCGAACCCCCTGAACCTCCCAGCCTATGGGCCTGGTATGATATTGAGTAGAGCACTTGGTTTGGCTCCAACTCGAGCAGAAGCACCCCCTCATCAGTTGGAAAGAGCCACATTGGTCAGGAATGTTCACTTCGTTGATAGCCAAGCAACCGTGACGCGTGCCGTTAATAGTTATTGGTTAATCAGTGAAGTTCAGTTCCAACCAAGGGAGCCTCCGTTGCTAAGAAAGGAGCACCCTCGCTTGATCCATCTCAAGGCCTAAAGACTTACATGTACATGTCCTTATAATGCAAAATGTCTTGGTTCATTTACATGTGCACTTTCCTGTGGGGGCTTGATGAATTGTGTTCCCTCGTCATGACCATACATGTCGGAATGCCATCATCATGCTAAATTTTTTTTTTGGATCAACATTTTTCTCTACATTGTTTCTTCTTTTTCCTTTGGTTGGGGACACGCTTACAGGTTGGTTTGATGAGGAACGGCAAACTGCTTTCTGAGTCTCCACCCCAAGACCTGATCGACTGCTATCAAATGCCGGTAAGAGTCTGTCTGGCTGGCTGTCTATTGGTTCATTCCTTGGTTACTTGGTTACTTGATGAATCAATTGTTGCATCGCTAATGTGAGACTTTTGAATTTGGCACCTTGCATTGTAGCTCATACATGTAAGTATATATACAGTTTGCTTTGTTTGTTGGATGCCCTGAAGTGATATGCCATGTTACATGTACATGTATGTTGTGTTGTTTCTGTCTTATCTCTTGCTAGTTTTTGTTTGCCACCTGGCTGTGCTCAGTCCATATCACAGTGATACAAATGTTGACCACTGACTGACATCTTTTTCCTTAACCGAAGGGATGCACAGTGGCTTATGCTCCTTGGGGGGGGTTAAAAATCACATGTCCCACATTAGAGCGGTTCATAATGATTCTATTAAATATGGACCATGACCCTGTAAGAGCCAGATTCAACGAGACCATGTTACAGCCGCTGTGTTGTGAGGCATTCATTGAGCAATTCAGTGGGAAATGTTTCCACTTTTGGCTGACCTGTTTTAGAAAATGGGCATTTTGTGAGATCGGTTTGCCCAACTTTCATAAAAGATTGTTTGACATCGCTAGAAGGCTAATGTGAAAAAATGCATCATGTTGGTATCGAAGGAAATGTCGGGAGGAAGAGGGCTTGCTCTTCAGGGTTGCCAAAGACAAATACCATGATTTACACGGCAAGAAACAAGACATTCAATAAAAACATAAGCTCTTCTTTAGGATATTAAACTGAGGCTGAGATTTCAGGTTTTCCATGGTGAAGGTAGCAGCTCAAGTTATTCATGTAGGTTTACGGTAGCCCCATTTGCAGTTTCTCTTTCGAGGGTACCGGTACGTGTGGTACTCAATGTTTTGGACAGTACAATCTGTCTGTTGTCAGGAGACTGCCGGGCAGGTAGATAGAGGCTGTTACGTCACCCGTGTCCTGCGTTTTTTTGCATTTGTCCAGACTCTTGAGGACGTGTTCCTGAAGCTGTGTGTGCAAGACAGCGAGAGAAGAGGGGACGATGAAGAACAGGCACAAGTAAGACACTGTACCCATAAGCCATGTCTGATCCGAGTGGCTGCGGCTTGGAGTATTACATGCATCAATGGGATCTGGCTGCACCCGCTTTTTTGGAGGCTTGCATGGGTGCACGTGTTACGTCAAGCCGCAGCCATAACTTTTGAACATGGTCTTGTCCTTAACTGGAATGCAGAGGGCTGGTAAACAGCTGGTTCCCCTGCGATACACAAACACACAGTACATGTACCTGTATGAGTCGGTGTTTTAGTCGAGTCTGTGCACAACTCTCTTTACCAGTCCAGACATAAGACCAGGAACCAGGAGCTGCTTGACAGTTTAGAAGAGTTGCAGTTACGATAGTTACTACGGTTGAAAAATTTGCCAACTAAAAGCACTAGGCCTATTTCATCATGGTAATGCCTGGCCTGGTTGTGCTTAAAGTTACATGCACATTGAGGTTTCTACTGTTTTGTCACTGCGTTAAGCACACGTTTCCTCCAAGGTAAGTGTGCCTGCTGCTTACAGTCTACATGAAATGCAAAGAGCCTCTTTTTATTAATAGCGTAAAATCGTGCACTCAGCAGCGCCGTCAAGTTGGGCCCAGTCATACAAGTACAAGTACTACCATAGCACATGTAGCAGGGTGAACACTGACAAAGGAATCCGTCTGTCACAACACTAGCAATTCACAATACAGTGTGTCACCAAGTGGTTGCCACTACAGGTCTTGTTTGTTCAAGTCTTATCATGGTTATGGCCAACAGAAATGGCCGCCTTGCCTTGATTAGGTTTTGAGCATACCGGAACGAACTATAAATTCAAGTTTCTCAGACGGCAAATGGAATTTGTTGACCATCTCCCACAATGCTCTGGAAAAAATGGTGTTTCTTTCTCTTCCTCCTGGTCTGGCACTGTATCCTGAATGGCCAGGATTACTTTGAATAGCTTATGACTCGACTTCTGATTGCTTGACTTTGAATGGACTTTTGGCAGACTTACCGCACAGGCACTTGTGATGGGCTCGACTACTGTACTGACGTTTTGAAATGCATCAGTTATGGACCCTCTGTATAACAAAATCACGGTGGTTTGAATTTAGGGTCCAACGTGTGACATTTTTCCCTCCCTGTTACACCAGACCTGTATAATTTGATAGGAGATATGTCACTGAAATTGATTTCAAACTATCTTTATTTTTATTTGTTTGGCAGGTAGTTTGCAGTACCTATTCACTCTTCGAAATTACAGAATGGGCTCTTAATTGAAAATTATCAAACACAAGATGTAATGGACAGGAAAATATTAAACCCCATTGAATTGAATAGGGGTTCAATTTCTGTGGAAGTTCTGTGGAAGTACAGTTGAGCCATTGCCGTTGAATATGTTTGTATGATTATGAGTATAGAATAGTCATATGAGTACTACAGGTTCAAAGTGACGAGCGTTTGTTGACCACTGGTCAATTTTCCCTGGTAAATTGTGCACAAAATAAATGGGTACCAGGCATAGTCGGCCAGTGGTTAACAAATTGCATTTGGTTGTCACTTGCCCAGATTTTTAGTAGAGTATATTTCCTGAGTAAGGAAGAATGTTGAAGAAAATATACTCAGTATGTACATGTACGTTGTTGTTATACATGCAAGCTTGAACCAAAAACATCAATTGTTAAATACATTATACCATTTGCAGTCAACCGCAGTTGTGGTCCACAGTATCAATGGAGCTGTTGAAAGGAATGTCTCAAGTAGCCAGGAGGACGTTGTTTTTTCCTCTGACTCGGCCATGCTCATCGACGAGAGCAGACATGTTTGCAAACCTGGTGCGTCCCAGTTGTCATTTCCCTTCCCAAGTCTCTTTGATTTGCAGTTTGGGTTTTGTAGCAAAAAAGAAATCCTTAATGAGCAGGTGTATGCTGACAGTCTCTCCGCGGGCATGCTGTCTTGTGTAAATTTTTTCTTTATGTTCTTTGATACTGGATTTTCATTGTTTGCAAACAGGAATTCCGTGCACTCTTGGCTGAGAGTGTGCATACACAGATATCATTCCTAAAGAACCATTCACTCAAGCAACAAAGATTTTTCTCACTCCATGTCCAGTTCTTACCAAATCAAATGGCCAACATGCCTTCCAATTCTCTGCTCCTGAACTTTGGAACAGCCTCCCGTACCTCATCCAAACCTGCCCCACCCTGGAACAATTTAAACATCTTGACTTGCATCTGTTTAATCTTTCCAGTGCATTTATGCACTTTATAAGAACTGCTTATTTTGAATTTTACGCATGGACCCGAAGTATTCATTCTCAGTGAGCCAATTTGATATTTTCGCATTCAGTACATCCTCAATACTGAAGGTCCTTGGAGAACATTAGTATACACCTTAGAGTTTGGCTCTATCATGGCGAATAAATGCTGACTCACTTTTCTGAATGCATTCGGAACAGCAATTTCCTTCTGCTCTGAAGATTGGAGACTCGAGTCTCACTTTAGTCAGTTTCCTTCTGTTACTGAAGATTGGAGGCTCTAATCTCACTTCAGTCAATTTCCAGTTGTTACTGAGGATTGGAGGTTCAAATCTCAGTTCGTTAAATTTCTTTCCGCTGGTGTCAATTTCCTTCTGTTACCAAAGATTGGAGATTTGAGTCTCACTTTAGTCAATTTCAGTTGTTACTTAGGATTGGAGGTTCTAATCTCACTTCAGTCAATTCCAGTTGTTACTTAGGATTGGAGGTTCTAATCTCACTTCAGTCAATTTCAGTTGTTACTTAGGATTGGAGGTTCTAATCTCACTTCAGTCAATTTCAGTTGTTACTTAGGATTGGAGGTTCTAATCTCACTTCAGTCAATTTCAGTTGTTACTTAGGATTGGAGGTTCTAATCTCACTTCAGGCAATTCCAGTTGTTACTTAGGATTGGAGGTTCTAATCTCACTTCAGTCAATTTCAGTTGTTACTTAGGATTGGAGGTTCAAATCTCAGTTCTTTAAATTTCTTTTTGCTGTTGAACATCACAGGTTTAAATCTCACTTCAATTTTTTTCATTTTCCATTCAGGGCCTTCAAAGCTGCGCTGCTCAGATATTTTTCTTAGCCCCGCCCACTTGTGGGCTTTGATGGTCAAGAATATCATCCGCATCATGAGAAATCCCGGGTAAGGCCCGAGTTCAAAATTGGTGCTATGTTTTTCCAGAAAACTCAATAAATTAGGTTTTTTATGACATCACATGACTCATATTTATGAGCTATGTACCCGTGATTCTGAAAGTAGTGTCCCAAGATGTCAAATAAGGTCAAATGTCACAGTGCTGACCTCATGATGTAATTCTTACATCTCGTAATGTGGAGGAAACAAAAAAGTGATCATGGAATGTTAATGGTGTCTAGCTCCCTCAAAAGACTGTTGCTTCCTCTGACACTGCTCAGAAGCTTGAAATGTTTGCCCGTGTACACATGACCGAACAGTTCTGTGTTTCACTTCAAGTCAAGAGGGGACCATTTTCTTGAGATTCTTGAATGTTATTATGTAATGCAAACAACTTCTCTTCCGTCACATTTTCAGAAAATCCACGTACAGTGTACATGTACCACGTTTCATTAACCCTGACACTCCTCAGTCCTCCAACAGGTGAAGGATTGAGGAGGGTTATAAGCTCTTGAATGACCAGTATACATGTATGAAAGAGTGTACGCTTGTGTTTAGGGTGTCTTCATTTGATTGTGTTGATGGTTTTTCTTTTTCTGTATAATTTCATTTCAATATTATCTGTCTTTTAATAGTACTGTTTACCTAATGATTGCAATTTTTGATTGATATTGTAATTTCCCATGCAGCGTGGCCTTCAGGCCAATATTTTTGGATCAATAAACCATCTGTCTATCAATCTATCTACATGTACATGTATATATATATATTTAAAATGGTTAAAAAAGAAGACGTACATGTATTTCGTCCCCCTCTTATTTTCGACTATTTCTCACGATCAAACTTGTTTATGTCCTGCAGGATTCTTTTCTTCACGGTCGTCATACCCATCCTCCAGACATCCCTCTTCTGCCTGGCCGTCGGCAATGACCCCAGGGACCTGTCGGTTGCCGTGGCAAACCTGGACCACCCACCAATTCTGAGCAAGCTCTATCTGCAGCAGATAGACAACTACACCGTGCATCAGGTGAACGGGGAGCAGAATGTAAAAGGCAACAACTTTTATACTGAATGATGAAATGTTGCTTTTATGGAACATGATTAGGTAGCAGGAGGATTATTTAATGTAAACTAATCCAGCTGCCACAGTTGAATCCCTGAAGTTGATCTTTCAAAGTTTAATACTTCAGAATCTTTCAAAATTTTAGTTTTTGTGTCATATTTTGTCACTGTTGCAGAACCACTTACACGTATACAGTGGAACACCGCTATAACGAACACGATGGAGTCCATGCTAAATGTTCAGTACGGTGGTTGTTCGGTATAGTGAATTTAACTGCCTAACATTTCGTTGCCATGTTGAATAGCGCCCTCTCTTGTCTAACTGAAGTGCACCCTCTTGTGATACTGTAAATAGCTGTTTTCGTGATGTTTTGCCGTTGCATTCACTTTTGATGTTTATAGAAATGTATCTGTTAATTATTTTTGTTTTTTTTTAAATCTTGAGTTACAAAATTGATATTTAGTTTATCCTAAAAGTCATGAAGGTTTCGCTCAGGATCGATCTCTGATGCATGCTGTGGCAAATCTCGGTTGATTTGAAACTGCATAGTGTTTGGTAGGTTCGTGTACAAAATATTGGGAGCCAAGGACGATGTTTGGTACAGCCGAATGTTCGGTATAGCGGTGTTTGGTATAGCGATGTTCCACTGTAACATATTTCCCGCTTTAATTTGTGTAAACCTGTAAAATGGGTGTGAGTTCTTGGATTTTTTCCGTATCTTTAAACCCAACTTTCTTGATGTTAGAGGCGTTAATCAAATTTTGCCACAATGACGGTGTGAGATAGACAAAATCATAGCCACCAGGAAGAGAACTCGTGCTTCGTTTTAAGAACAAATCTGGACAAGTCACCGTTGATTGCTGTTGCCAGTTTCTACAACCCTTATCTCAGATTTTTTATTTTGTGTAGATTTCCCTTCATCTCACCATCTCTCCCCTGTGTACAATTCTGATTTCAATGTACCATTCACTTCAGATCCCGGTGGACACTCTGAGCTTAGGGAAGGCCGGAGTGAGGTCCGGGGAGTACTGGGGAGTGATCGAAATGGGAGCCAACTTCTCCGTAGATCTCCTAAAGAGGTACCTGTCATTGCTATGTTTTCCTTTGAGTTGCACTTGCTCTGTCTTTTTAGGTGGATGGTTAGGCATACGAGAGCAGTCTCATAGGAAGCCAGCAGTGTTCGCTCCATCATAAGTCCTTTTACAAGTTTTCCTCCAAACAAGTCTGGTCACAAGTCCTTTAACTAGACCAGTCATAAGTACCAGGACGGGGAGTGAGAAATGAATGCTTTTGTCACACTTCATGCAAACAGCTTATGACTTGGTTCAAGACTGAATGACTAACTTGGGGCTTGACTACAATACTGAAAGGCAGTAACCTTTGTGTATATGTACATGCACTATATGTGCAGGTATGTACATGTACCTAACATCTTGTGCAGTGTAACACTGTGGATTTGCTGAGCAGATATAGACCGAAAAAAAGTTCAGTAATTGAATCTGGACCCTCTCATGTCAAGAAGATAACTGTTTTACATCGTGACTGTAATTTGAGCGTTGACAGTACGTAAATGCCCCCCCCTTTCTTGACTTCTACCAATGTTTATAGATTCCAGAATTACAGTTCAGCTGATAATGCCACCATCCAGGGCGGTTCGGTCCACGTGTATCTCGACATGACTAGTAAAGTTGACACTTTTTCTCTTTGCACTTGCCTCTTTTTTTTTTTCTGTCATCCGTCAGTGACATCACCAATTCCAGCATCTCCGTTTAGCAGAGCCACATTGTCTCTATTTTATACATTTTTAATAATACTACAAGTATTTACCATAGCGCAAGTCCCTGCTTGATCATCGTGCTTTACAGCATAAAATGCAAAGAAAGCAAATTTATACTTGTTTGCGATATAAAAGTTGAGGGAAACTATTACAACAAAAAAAAAAGATCAGCTCAACAGGTGTGCTTTGAAAAGATGCTTAAATAATGCGGGGTTAGGAGCCAATCAGATGGTTGGTGGGAGATCGTTCCGCACTCGGGGGGAAGAGAAGAGAATGACCTCTCTGCAACCATCCTTTGACCCCGAGGCACCATGAGCCAAGTGTGTCTGTTGCTGCTTTGAAAAGATGCTTAAATAATGCGGGGTTAGGAGCCAATCAGATGGTTGGTGGGAGATCGTTCCGCACTCGGGGGAAGAGAAGAGAATGACCTCTCTGCAACCATCCTTTGACCCCGAGGCTCCATGAGCCGAGTGTGTCCGTTGCGGAAGCATCAAGTTGCAAGCTTTGATTAAATTACAGACAGACAAGCCACTGTTGGTATCCAGCACCCAGATCTGACATAAGTTCAAAGTGTGTGCTGCTCAGAATAGTGGAGCATTTCTAAAATTGGCTTACAGAGCAAAGTGTGCCTTAAGCTATATGTGCAAACATTTTTCCGTTTTACATTGGCATATACATGTACGATACATATACTAGCTGGTTTGCCAAGGAGCCTTTTTTCTGTGTGTGTTTTTCTGTTTCTTTGAATGGATTTTTCTAGGGGTGTTTTGTTCTTGTCGTTTAGTTTTCTTGTTTTTTTCTGACACTGTCCAATCACCCTGTTGCTGATGTGCTAATCCACATGTAACATACTTTTCTCCAGATTCCCAAATAGCCATTTCACTGCAACAGAAGCTGCTGGAGGCATTTCAGGTAGTTGGCCTTTTATAAAAGGGTCGATCTATAAACGTGGGGTCCCAAAAAGTGACATTTTTTGTGTCCCTGTTACACCTGACCTGTGTAATTTGACGTGGAAATATCACTGAAATTGATTTCAAACCATTTCCACTCGTTTGGCAGGTTATTTGCATTAATTCATCACTCTTGGAAATTAGAAAATGTGTTCTAAACTTACAAAACATACCTCAGATGTGACAGAGACACATTAAAAATTGGACCCCTAATTTATAGAACAACCCAAAAGCTTTCCAATTTTTAGCCTTGCTGGTAAAGCCAAAGAGACATACCCTTTCCACGTTTTACATCTATGAGCACAAACGTGGCATACACAGTGTGGACCTCTGCACAAAAGAAGTCCACATAAAGTAGGGTCAGGTGACATTGTGTGGACATGCACAGGTCCACACAGAGCTTGGGCCGCTCTGAAAAGCAGCTTCAGGGGCATTTGGCAGCCAGGGTTATTATCCACAGCAAAATAAAAAACAGTCCAAGGAATCATCATCAGAAATTCAGCTCGAAGAGTTATCTCAGCAAGAGAAAAAAAAGGAGTATTTTCCACGAATTTTCTTATAACCATGTGAGAACAAAGTAATGTCCACACAATGTGTGTGAAACAAATGTGTGTGGGTGTGAACATGTATTGCTTTACCTCAGAGGACATGAAACAGAGAGTGAAGGGTGTATTCCCTTTCCTCAGTAGTCAATCTAAAGGTCTCTCTCAAAATGACATCACTTCCTTCAGACTGCCCCATGTATCTGCAGCGTGGACATCAAATTTGCTTGATGGGCATTGCCTGCGTTGTATTTCGAAGCTTCTCGGATCATCGCACGCACGTGTGTAGAACATTTGCTCACTGTTCATACACGCCTGATGGCATTGAATATGCAGTTGCAATTATTTGTACAAAAATGACGTCCTGTGAGAGAGATCTGTTGTCCTCGGTGATAAAATCCTGTACTTAGTCAATGGGAGAATGTTGTAATATCGGAAGGATAGGAAAGCTGATGCCCACTCTTCAGTGGTATTGCAAATCATGACTGTTTGTGACTACAGTCTAGATGGTGGGACATTTGTGTTTAATAATTGACAATTTTCCTGTTAAGGTTTTTTTCCATGTAATTTTGTTGTAGATATGAAGCTCAGTTGTGACAGAACTGTTAACAGGTGCTGTGAAGTTGAGCCGATATCTTGAGATGTACAAATATACGGTAGTTGAAATAATGAGCGAACATTTTATAGTTGAATGGTGCTCATCTTGCAAACTGCCTGCCTCCTGCCAAAATATGATCAACTTGAAAATGTTCCAAAAACCTTTTCTGGTATATGCTTTGTGAAAAAAGGAAAAGAAAAGAGAGAGACACAAGGCAGCGGTTAACTTCCATTTGACATCAAACATCAGGTTGTGATTGGTTTCTCCGTTTCCCAACATTGTTCTTGACAGAATTTCACTCAGAAGCTCCTGCCCAACCCACAGATCGCTGAAATACCAGTCGTGGTGAGAAACACCTTTCCCTCTGTCCACAGTTGTAATCTTGTCACTAAATTTGGACTTGAGCCAGACTCCAGTTGCTATTTTTGTGACTCGTTACTTGACTTGAAACTGTCATGTTTGGATTTCTGACTTGACTTGGACTTGCTAAAAATGACTTGTGACTTGATTTGGACTTGGCACATTATGAGGTATTAACTACTCAATCGAACGCATTAAAGTTTTAAATTAGCCCTATTAACTTATGCCTGTTGTTTTTAAAAATCGCGTAAGATTTCATTTGGCTCACGACTTCTACTTCAGTCTGAAGTTGGCTGTTGTTTGAAATCATACATCTCAGGACTTGACTTGTACTTGGCCAAAATACTTGTAACTTGCTTGTGTTTGGACCATATTGACTTGTAACTTGGCTGGAGCTGTGATTAAATGACTTGTTACTTGACTTGTGACTGGACCAAATGACTTGTGACTTGGATTTAGACTTGCTACCACCCTTCTGTCTAACTCAGTACATCTAGGCAAAGATGGACCAGTGGAAGTCCTCTTGCAATTTATTGTTTCATTTCAAATACAAGGAAAATAGCAACATGCAGTCAAATGTATGCACATCTGTTAAGTTCTTCAATGATTTCCCAAAACTAGAGAGGGTACTACCACTCAAAAGCAAGCAGTAACTTAACAGAGGAAAGGTAATGAAATACTTTCCTGTCTGCTGTAATTTCCAAACTCATTGTGTTATGGTCTCCTTGCCTATGGGCCTTGAGCGGGACCAAGAGAGGGCGCTATTTTCATAGCAACAAAGGCTCCTTTGGTCAGAACTGAACTTCGCTGATTCATGTCTGACCAGAAAATGCAAGTGTCACAGTCACATCGCTGCCAACAAAATGAACACTCCCGACCAATGCGACTCTTTTCAGCCGATGGGTGGGGGGGTGCTTCTGCTCTAGGCGGATAGACAAATCCAGCCATGTTTCTCTGTGACCATTCCAGAGGCCATTGTTATGGCAGAGATACTGGACGGGATGACTGGTATGAAACTGTGGCTCTGCTCAACTGGTCATCACATTGTCTACTGTGGTTGGTGCCACTTTAAAATGGGCCTCTGCAAAATGACCAGTGAAAGCGTTATGATCATGGGATGGAATTCATCTATAAAATGACACACTTGTAGGGTGCTTTGACAATAAGACCTCTTTGGTTTGACACCAGTGGCCGATATAGTTGGTTGACAGATTTCTCGTTCCATATTCATTTAATGCATGTTTACTGGGAGGAAGGTGCACTGGTCCCAGTCCCTCTAATGCCGTGCAACCTCAGACGTAACTCACAAGTTTTTCAGGTCAGATTTGACCAGGTTTGGAAATTGTGGCATGTTTTTATTATGTGCTGTTTCTCCTTTCTTTGCAGTTTGAGCCGCCCATCTATGGCAGCACAAGGACAAAATTTGTTGACTTTGCCGCCCCAGGCATAATACTGACGTAAGTTGTCTCAAAAATGTACATATTCCACGTTTGATTCAAAGCAGTCTCAAGGAAGGGCAGCCTTCAAGAGGACTCCCAGTGTGATTTTGTGGTGTACATGTACGTTCATGCACACTTTGGGCCTGTCTGATTTGCGCGGATCCAGATCGCGATCAGTAATCTGTCATTGGTTCACTGACACCAAAACTCGCCTTATGGATGAAGAGAACCAGCTTTGGGAACACTGATCGAGATCGGTAATCTGTCATTGGTTCACCAACACCAAAACTCGCCTTATGGATGGAGGGACCAGCTTTGGGATCACTGATCAAGATCAGTATTAATTTATCATTGGTTCACTAACACTAAAACTCACCTTATAGATGGAGGGAACCGGCTTTGAGATCACTGATCAAGGTCCAGATCCATGTGAAACAAACTGTGACCAGTGACAGACTTTGGTTGGCTTTTGGATAGCTCACAGACATGGCAAAAGTCCACTGGAATTTTCAAAGATTTGATACTTTTGTCGCCAGCACTGCCAACTGACAGACAGGATGCATTGATTGCATTCTTCATGTGCAAAACCAACCGTGCTGCCTCATCTTATTTTTCACAGTCCGTACCTGAGCACTGCATCTGTTCATTCAGTGCATTGTCGCTTTTATGAAATGAAACTTTTCTGAATTTCCTACGTTAAATGATTTCACTGTTCAATTTCTCTCTCAAGTGTTAAGGTTGAGTAAATTTGCATACAATCCCAACAATCATTTTTCTCCAAAAGGTACACCTGCTACACACATTTTGTCAGTTTGACCCTACTCTGCAAAGATGCATTCTCAACACAGTTGTACCAGTCAAAATCAGTCAAATGACATATATGTCTAGGTACTGTAGAGGGAGAAGTGGAGGGAACTTTCGACTGTTTTTGACGGTTACAGCAAAAGGAGGGTGAATCAAATGTTATTCTCCAATGCGTCAGTGTTCACAGTGCGTGCACACACGGAGGTGTCACTTCATGAAACCGTACTTATTTATTAATTGGCTTAGCATGAGGAAGGCGCATCAGGTTACAGTGCTGGCCTTGACCAAGGTGTTGGGCACATCTGGACTATGCGTAGAAATTATACAGTGCGTCGACCTGTTCATGGTGGTCTTACCCATGTCTCTCTCATGTTGTGTACCTGTCCCAATAGTCACAAGGCGCACTCATGTGTACATGCCCCAAGCTCCAGTTTGTAACTGGACAGGCCATGCGTATAGTACACGCATGTACATGTACGTGCATGCATCGCAGTACAGGGCTTGCTCTGTGAGTTTGCCATAGCGCACCGTGATAGTACACGGTGGTTCGTTTGTGGTGGGTCGCGTTTGTATGAGGCCAGATCGTCTCCTTTCGACAAAAAAGTGCTGAGATCGACTGGCAAGGCTATACAGTGCATGAATACGGTGACAATTTATCTCTTTCTTTGAAATGACAAAGTGTCACACAGTTAGATTTTCTCTGCATAATATGTACCAGTTTGGCCCCTTGCTCTGTTTTGCTAGAATATTTTTCCAAGGCAAGTGTCTCGGTATACTGCAAATAATCTCACTGACCTTTTAAAATTTGTTCGGTTTTTCCATCCCAGAATCATTTTTTTTCTGGCCATGGGCGTAACAGCGCTGTCCTTAGTGACCGAGAGGAAAGAAGGGTTACTGGACCGGAGCTGGGTGGCTGGTAAGATGCATGATTTCAGACGTTCTTCATCTGTTGGCATAGCAGTGCTGGACCAAGATCTGGCCCAAGATCTGGCCCACCTTGTCGATCTTTTTCAGAGGAAAAATACTCCTCTGCGAATTTGTTTTGGTATGTCGGAATCAACTAGCTATGGCTAGTGTAATACACCCGTCTATGGCAAGTGGCCACACCTGTTTGCCACTGGCTACAGTGCTTTTGCAAAGCAATAGGCATAGCATTTGGACGTGACCCAATCATCAACTGCACTTTGCTCAGCTACAATGAAACAAGGTTTACCAAGTTCTAAGGGTCTCTTGATGGTTTATGTATGTTTGTTTGGTCTTTCCAGGGGTGAGTTCTACGGAAGTAATGCTGGCCCACATCCTTGTCACTGGCTTGCTGACTATCATCCAAATAATACTGGTCCTTGTATTTATCTTGGCTGTCTTCAAGGTCGGTATTTTCTTCCAGATTGGATGTACATGTACTTGCTTGGAGATTTTGTCACGTAATCTATGTGCTCACTTTCATGAAAGATGCGAACCCCACTTAAGAATTGTTTGTGATGGCCCATGCTGTGCCCACATTGGCAAATTTGGTTTTCATTTGAATGTGCACAAACGTGGTAACTTCATGGGGGAAGGTACAAAGGGGCACACTGGCAGCGACATGGCTGGGTTTCATCTTGTAGAATCTTGGTTAATGAACCACTTCCGTATTTCAAGCAGATCAGGTGACTCAAGATCAAAGCAGCCACGAGAGTCAACGTAGGGGAAGCACGCCAATAGGGCAGACCTCGCAAGCACGTACTGCTGTTCCCAAGTGACTACAGATACCTTCCATCTTGGGCATGTGCTGTCAGAATACCAAACTCGCTCAATAGAGTACCGAAGTGTGATGTCATTGTGAACCAGAAAATGCAGTGCAAACGAATGGAGTACGCGTGCGTGTTGGTTCACGCGCTGGTTCTCGCGCTAACGCCTTTTACGCACTAATTGTGCGCATGACGTATTCACCTCGGTACTCTACGAGTACAGTTCAGTCACACCCAGGTCTGTTATTCTCTGTTCCAGATCCCCAACGAAGGCAGCCTGGCATTGATCACGCTACTCTGTATCCTGCAAGGTTTCTGCGGTCAGGCTTTCGGTCTCTTTTCCTCCTCCGTCTGCAGCACCGAGATCACCGTCATGCAGTTCACGCAGGGCTTCTTCTATCCCATAATCCTGATGAGTGGTAAGGGACTGTCCAGACTTTTCCTCCGATCAGCTGATCTCGATTTTCACTTCCAACTAGGTTTCCTAGGTTTTTTTGTCGAAGTCCAAGTTGCATGCCTGTCTCATAAGAGGGAATGAGCGCCGTGAAATTTGTGAATTCCCTCGGGGAATTTGCCATGTCCCGACGAAAGGCGAAAAGAGAACTAGGGAAAAACATAAAAATAGGAGGGATTTTGTTGAAAATCACCAGTAGTTTGCTTGAAAATACCGTAGACATTGACCTTCTACTGCCAATGGTCGTCAATGGGCTAGTGATGACTGCTTTGCACCCTTCCCAAAGAAATCCTGACGATTCCCATGTACCCAGCATACGGTTCATTTTCATCTTACAACAGGGGTGCGAAACTGTACCTGGATTTTTTTCACTTTTCTTTTTTTCCTTTTGCAGGTATCATTTGGCCCATCCAGTCCATGCCCGATGTCCTCTATTACATCAGTCTTTGCCTGCCACAAACTTATGCTAACGAGGGACTCCGTAACATCCTCAGCAAAGGTCAGTCACATTTCCCTGGCTACATGGTCTTTCATCAGGTTTAATGGCTTCCGGCTAGTGCCCCCCCCCCCGCAGAGATATTGACAAATGGGAAGAGCCACCAACGTAGGGTTGGACGGCTTAGTTGGTAGAGCACTGGTACGGTATTCCAGAGGGTCGCAGGTTCAAATCCCACTTCAGTCAAATTCTTTGTTCATCTTTATCAATTTTAAAAGCCTTGATTTTATTTATTTATTTATCTATCTGTATTGTGAAGAATATATTTCCTATTGTTTCCATGTTGTTACAGGCTGGGGCATGGAACACTTTGAGGTGTGGCTGGGTTATGTCATCACTTTGGCCTGGTCGCTCGTCTTCCTCACCTTGTCGGCCGTGTTCCTGCGCATAAGAAAGTAGACCCTTTGTTGTTTTTTTAATTTTACCTCGTCCTTAGTCATCGGCGGCCAACACACTCAGCAGTATTTGCATAAAATGCCAATAGTGCTTTGGTCGTTAAACGTACAATTCTTTTGGCTACGCACATCTAGTTTACCTAAAATAGCAAACACCATGTGACTGGCTCTCAGCCAATCAGGATACAGAATCTATGGATGAGATGTACACGTAATATAACAATACATATGCCCACGAAAGCCACTGGCTGAGTGGGTACAGCCACATCTCACATTGATACGTGTGCTGTTGTTAGCAATAGGTGGGTAAATTGGACTTAGTCATTTGGGTATTAAAGGGCAAACTCTCAGCATGGTGTCAACTGTTACCTCTTAACTTCAGGGTCAACTTTACCTACATGGGAACAGGAATTCAGTTTATATTTAGCCATATCTCTACATCTTTGTAATGCACAAAGACGGTTTGAGGAAACGCGGTGGTTCCCAAACTGTGTCACCTGGGCATTGTTTGTTTACTCTCAATTTGTTTGTTTGTTTTTTTTTGCATAATGTCGTTGACGATGGGGTGCATAGAGACAAGAATCTATCTACATGACCGGATTTTGCAAACATGTACCTTGAATGAATTACATGTAGCTCATAGCTTCTCGGCTCCATGTGTGGCCCTCTTATTCCATGATTTAAAAACAGCTAAATGATACATCTTGTAAACATCTGCTGACAAAACATTTCAAGTGGTTTTTTGTGCATGCGTGGCATACATACTGTAGTGTGGACCTCTGCACAAGAGGTCCACACAATGTTGGGTGTGATGGCGTTGTGTGGACTCGCACCTGTCCACACACCCACGCTTACCTTACATACCTAGTGTGGACATTCCTTCATTTTCGTGCATTTAAGAAAACTCAGTGAAAACACTTGTTTTTCTTGAACTGGAGACACGATTTTCAGCAAAATACTTGTTTTTCTTGAACTGAGCACATGATTTTCAGCAAATTACTTATTTTTCTTGAACTGGGAACATGATTTTCAGCTGGCGTTTTGTACAAGGTTTCCTTGACTATTCCTCTTCCTTTTAAGACGGATGATCCTTACCCCAAAATGCCTCTAAACTTCTTTTTCAGAGAAGGGGAAACTTCCTGTGGGCATGTGTAAAAGAGTCCACAGAAAGTCTTCCTTTCCTGCATTGTGCGGACATCTTTTGTTCACAAGTCCACACTAGGTATGTAAGGTTAGCGCAGAGTTTTCCTCACTGGAAAGAGTTTCAGAGGCATTTTGGGGTCAAGGTTATCGGTTGAAAAATGAAGAGGAACAGTCCAGGAAATCATCATCAAAAATCCAGCTCGAAGGAGTTATCCTAGTTGGAGAAAATGGAGCATTTTCTTCAAGTTTCCTTAACCACAGAACAAAGGAATGTCCATACTTTGTATATAAAACAGATATATGTATGTGTGGGTGTGTATATGGGGAAATTACAATTATAACCTTTTGATGGAAATGTTGAACATTACACACTCACCTACAGGGATTTTAAAAAGCCTGTGAGATCTTTGCTTTTAGGCTTACAATGTATGTGAAGAGTCAACACGTTTGATGTCAATATGTTAATTGAAAATTGAAGGAAAAAGAGCCTGCATTCTGGCAATACGAGCCCGGATTCACAGTGCAGCTTGCCACAAAGAGGTTGTGTTGAACGCAGACAACTCAAGTTGTTCCCAATGTTTGTTTGTCAGGATTGAAGACTCAAAAGTTAATTCTTTCAGTATCGCTGTTAAATATTTAAGGTAGTGGCTTTCATTAGGGTAAGGAATGCCCTGACCAATCATTTCTTCACATTGTTCACTTGGTTTAATGCAAGTCACGGCGATGAGTCGGCCATTTTTTTTGTCGACCATAAACTTGAAATTTGGCCTCTTTGTGGTAACCTCTTGGTGTCGTACTATATTATGAATCACCTACATTATTGAGAACATAGGCCTTACTTCTAATTTCCTACCTTACAGACTTACTCTGGTCATAGAGTACCAAAGTGAGCGTGTCACATGCACAATTCTGTGTGTAAAATGAAGCACCGCACGTACGTACTCCATTGGTGTGTACAACATTAACCCTAACACTCCTCAATCCTTCACCTGTTGGAGGACTGAGGAGTGTTAGGGTTAATGGCTTGAAAGGACATCACACTTTGGTACTCTGTTGGTACCTGCTTCTCCTGGTCTAGTACCCATGGAGCATTTTGTCCTGGGTGGGTGGGGGGAAGGATTGCATCTGTTACCTCCCTTCCCTTGCTGTCATGCTGCACTACATTTTGTAAAATAGAATAAGTTATTTTGCGAGGCATTCCTTGCAGGTAAAGAAAAGTGATTTTACTATTATCTTTCGGTAGACGGATTTATAAAATGGGAAGGGGGTTGGGGAAGGGATGAAGAGCGTTTGGAATTCGCAACCAGGCAGATTCCGAACATCTGAGTCATCGGACTGTGCCGTAATTGAGAGACAATGCGGCCGATCAATGCAAAGTGTTTTTTATTAGGTTTTTGATAAGAGTAACTTTGAGATCTGTTATCTTGCAAAGATATTTTTTCACCTTTTCACCGTTAAATGTACATGTAAAAGAATTAGAAGAACATTTAATTCACTCTACTACAAACATGTATGTCAGCTGTACAAAGAAAACTGTATCAGTGAATTGTCTTTCAGTTGAATGTACGTGAAAAAGCTGCGCTAAATATATCATTTTATTTTGTAGCATATAAATGCTTGAAATTTAAATTCGACGAATGTTTCAGTGCAATGGTTATGTGCCCATGTAAGTACTTTAAATGAAAAAAAAGCAGCTGATGAGTATTGTGGAAATCTACAGGGTTTGTCTGGCAATTTGCTCCTAGCGGGGACAAGAGAGAGCATTTCTTACGCGGAAACGACGTCGACGGGCCTTTGGTAGGAAAATCAGTTTTGTTGGCATTTTGGCACGGGGCCCGTGACTTTGCGCAACTGATTTATTTTGAAATGTATGGTCTTTGTGTGTGTGCACCGGGCCCGTGCATAAGCTCAGTTGAAAAAATTTTCCATCACCCTGTCTCTCCTTTACCAATTGAGGGCGCACTTCAACTCGTGAATCCAAATTACTGGATTCATTTGTTCCAGAGAGTGTCTCTTCAAAGTTGTGAACTACAGATACATGTACATCTACCTAGTTGTACAAAGCTTCATAATGCATTTTAGCCAAGTTACCAGAAGATGTGCTCTCTCCGCCCTGGGTGGAAGTGCGCCCTCAATTGGCAAAGGAGAGACAGGCTGATAAGACATTCTCAACTGAGCTTATGCCTAAGTCTTATGCATAGATTGGTTGTGTATAGTCACAGGCCCTGGGCCAAATGTAAATAAAACTATGGTGACTTTCCAACCAAAGGACTATTGTTTCTATGGAAACACACCCTCTCTTGTCCCTTCCAGGAGCAAATTGCCAGATGACTAGATCGTTGGCTTTAGTCATTCCCCGTTGTGAACTCAGAATAACCTCAAATCACATTGATAAATCATCTGCCCCGAGTTGATAGATGCGATATGAAGGATTTGCTATCCTGTGTCCGTATTCATTTATAAAAGCCGGCCAAGCCTTCAATAGGTGGCTGCTGAGATGACCCCAAGTTGATAGCTAAGCCTAGTTGAAAGCTAAGTGATATTCATACAACTTTGCTAATTTTGCTTGGTTGCTAAGTTGGCTGCTAACGTTATAGTTGATGTGGGGTGTCTCTAAGTCCCTATTTGGCAACTGAATCATTTTGTGGTTTACACATTGAACAGCGAACATGGCAAGATGTATACTTGAGCTTGCACAAGTGAACAGTGCAATTCATTAAAGTCAGCTAGTTTTTGCTGTTCCTAAAAGTCATTTGACCCATCCAAAGCTTCACCATAGTATGCAAATACACATTATCTGGTTTTGGGGTTTGAAGAACTGCCTTATGTCCTAAGCTGCGTGCCCAACATATCTAGCTACCAACTACCCCGGTAACATTCTTGGCAAGGTTTTATGAATATTAAATTAGTTGGTAACCACAAAGCATAAAACTACGGATTTAACAGGCCGCTAAGGTCGAGTTGGCTGCTAAGTTAGCAAGCTTTGATGAATATCGGCCTAGGCATGTCCGGGCGTATATAGATACTGTACATGCACAATCAACAACTCCTGCTATTAACGAACATGTAACATACACGTATATTGACATTTTACACAGACATGTAGTACATGTATGGTAAGTAATTTTAAACAAATTTGCAAGTATTGCTGTTTGTCTTTCAATGCTGACAATCACTATGATTTTTCCTGCAACTTTGTGATTTTCTTTTTGTAGCTATTGTAATGTCGGGTTGGACTAGACCAATGATACATGTAGCTGTGATTTCTATATTAAGATTTAAATGGTATGAGCAAGTAGCAGCCGGTAAAGACCAAATGGCTCGCAGTTTGATCGGCATTTATGAGTTTGTTTGTTAGCTTGATGAGTTCTGTACTGCACGCTTGTTTGCCCTGCTGATGGGCTGCCCAGTTTTATTGTGTTGTTCAAATGTGACTCACTCACCGAGGAGTTTTCATGAAGTGAATATATGGATATGACAGTGGCCAGGCAGCCGAAGTGTGGCAATGCTGCCATTTATCTGTGGCAATTTAAAAACGATGTTTCACATCATTTGGAAATTATTCTTGTTCTTTTTATTTTGATGCCGGTGGTTGCTGCTATTGATTCGAAAGTCTGGAAGGAATTTATGCACAAGTCAAATTATTTTGTGTACTTCAGACGCCAATCTGGAAGGATTAGCATACATGTATCTGGCCAACACTTGTCTTCTTATATTTATGACTTGAACACTACTAGAAAGCGTAATCTGATGAAGAAACACTAATTCAGGAGTGAAAACTTGATCTTTTTTTGGAAGTACCGGTACATTGAAAATTTTCTGATATTTAGATCCCATAAACTCTGTAGTATAAGATCAAAGGTGGTGTCCAGATATCAAATTTGTTCTTCAACAAAGCAACTACATGTACGTGTATATAAAGCAGAACGCTTTGGCTGAGCTACTCCATCAGTTTTCCCCTTAACATGTTTAAACTACGGTGCACATGTAACTTTCATGGTTCAAACATACAAATTTATTTCTAAAGGAAATATATCGTACCAAAGTATTGGTGTTTGTTTTAATTTGTTGCTTATGTATACTAGAAGTTTAGCATCCTCTGCTTACACAGATTTGGAACAAGATGAAAAAAATTGTGATTTTTTTAATTGGAATTCCATGTTGAGCAACAAGGGAGAGCAGTTTTCTTAGTAAATTTGTAATAAATGCGCAGGGCATTTGCCTTGCCAATATCACGACTTGGAATTTCTTGAGTCAGATCACCTGAAGAGTTTACGCACGTTACCTTGAAAACTTTGCACCGACATAGCCGCCTTGAACCAAAGAGTAAATTCTGGATGGAAAAAAAACCAAAACCCACAATTGTAATCCATTACAATTGTGGTTTTGTGGTTGCAAGATACATGTACGAGATGTTAGAATTTTAGACTCACCCGCAAGTTTTGCGGAGAGTGCAAATGGGTTCACAAACGACTTTGCTGAGCACTGAAAAGGTAATGCCACTAAAACAATTGGACAGACTTTTGAGCAGAAGATTTCAAGACAAGTGAAGGATTTAACCTCTTGCAAAGCGGACATCATTTTAAGGCATTCAGAATTAGAAAGTTTATTCACTGTTAAACTTGAACAGAATGGAATACTGGCTACTCGTATAAATCAAACCCTGTGACAGTCTGGAAAAAGCTTTTGCTGCCAGGTTTTGCTTTTATTAGTTAGTGGAAAATATGAAAGTCCCTATCTACAAAAATCAAGCCGTCAAATTCTACATAAATGTTCATTTGTCAATCTTCATTTCAGTGTTAAAAACTACATGTACTTCGGCCAAAAAAACAAACCAAAGTTCCATAGCTTCTTACATAGCACTCGCTTGCAAAATTTACGTACCTTACCTCTGAACTAGAAGTTTCCACTCCATTGAACTCAAATTTTTGTAAGACAGAGCAATATATTGATTTCTCAAGGACACAAACAATAAAGAATGTCAGCTTGTACCCATTTTGTCACAACACATGCAGCTAGAATATATCAGATTATATACAGAATAAAACCCAAATGGTATTTTCTGGAATGACTATTGCCAACAATGAAATAATTTCAGCAGTAGTCAGATCAAGCGCTATTCGGTTTCAGCCAATGGCGGTTTCCTCCTGAAACGATCTGCCACTTCAAATAAAAGCTTTCCAAGTTGGCGTTTCGTCATTTGCTTGCAAAACTATGTACATAGATTTCATGCAAACATACGGCAATATTGCACTTTATCCACAAGGATGTTCAGTCTACTGCGACCGATTTCATGAGACTTGGTGTCACTTCACATGAGGCTGTGCCCTGTGCTATAAATCTCTAGCAAAGCTGTGAAATGTCCTTTGTGTGGTCGGTTTTATAGAGAGATAGCTGTGCTTCAATGCTTTTCAATACCCTCCTATACAAATGTTATGCATTTCTCGTTGAAGCTTTAATAAGGTGAGTGCTCTTGCGCCTGACGAAGAACGTGCTTGGTCGGCGGAACTCCATTTTCAATGAGTTTGAAGCAATTACACGTACTGCATGCATGGCGTAACTTGGTGCACAAGTCCTCAACTTACGCAGTGCATAACCTTCACGAGTACACCACAATTTCTTGCCCAACTTAAATGTAACATATGACATCAGTTCAATCATGTCCTTGCCGTGAAGCTCTGGGAAACAGTCTTCAGGACTTCCTCTCACTGTACAAGCCTCTGCGGACACGTAGAGGATTAATGACCTCGTTGCTGAGGGACAGATCCGTGCTCGGCAAATTCCTTCACAATATTGCACAATTTTATCTCGTAATTAATGTCGTTATAAAATTTACAAGGCACTTAAAAGATTTATGTGAATATATACAAACGAATTAGATTTCTGTAAAAATGCATCTTGGTTAAACGCAGGAAAATCCCTTTTTTTGCAACATGCTTTTGAACATACAGTGTACAAATCTCTTTCATGAATTTCTACTTATAAATCTTGCAGTATTGCACAATGCCCTGCATGTTATACTGGGGAAAAAATTCCATTCTGAACTCCAATTTTTTTCTGGCTTATGCCCAAAAGACAATTCTGCAGTTTTCAAAAATGAACCCTTCCCAACTAAATCTTACTTGTAAAAAACTGTGAGAAATCTGGCCAGCCCCATATCTTTAAAAAAATTGTAAAGACCTGTAGAGTTAGCCAAACAACTGCAACCGGAAAAAAAAATAAGTGTCAAATATATCACAGCAAGGCATACACGCTTATTCCTCCTTTTGAATACATTCCAAGCACACAATGTACCGGGTCAGAAACAAGAAGCATGACTGGATGTACCTATCCATTCCAAATTGGGGGCCAATCAAACTTCCTGAATGCAAAGTCATTTTACTGAAAAACAGAAAAGTAATTTTGATGATTTACGAAGGGCATACTGCATGCATTGGTAACACCGCTTTGCTGGTAAACATCGGGGGGAAAAAAACGAACATTTATTTCGACAAGAAAAAGCAAGAGCAGGAACTTCACAATCCAAAGAGGGAACAATAATGACTGGTCCTGTGCTCCACCCACAGGCAGAGTTTCCACTTCAGGATACAGTGTGCCAAGTGCATGCAAGATTACAAACGCTGCCATCAACAAATTGACAACAGAAATTTGAAACTAAGGTTTTTACAATTTGTGGGTCGCACTGCGTTTTTATAGTGTTTGTACCGTTTGGTATCCTTTGTTTCAACTGATAAAAGGTTGCATGAAACTTAAGCAGTTTATCCTGCAATTGAAGTCGGTACATTTTGCATCGTTCAAAACTGAAAACCTGAAATATCCTAAAAACAGAGTGGTGCCATGTTTGGTGGCCAAGATCACCAGGTGTCATGGCACACATACGTGTATTCCGTATGTAGCCTGTTTTTCAAGTCAGTGATGACCTGCCCCTCTAAGCGCGTACAACTCGAATAAGCCTGAATGAGCCACTTTGGTATATTGACAGTGCGGTGTGAATCCAAAATAAGTGCATCCAAGGTCATGTGGGACCAGCATTACGGGCACATGCGATCTGCCCTATCACCGCTGCCTTACGCCGACTTGCACGTGTGCTTTGAACTCAAATGACCTTGCCTTTCTTTGAAGTACCGAATTGGCCCATTCGTGGCGGAGGAAGGGGTGGCGGTATGAACTGGATAGGTCAGTGTCCGGGGGGGTCAGACTGCGTACCTGGGTTGTGCTTGCGCCGCTCTCTCTTTATGTTGTGGTGGTCTCCTTCTTGGCTTGGCCGTTCTGTCCCACCGAGGCGTCGGGCTGGCCCTTGGTGTCGCCTCCTGCCCCAACCCCACCCCCCTTGTCGGGCTGGACCTCCTTGAGTTCCATGTCCTTCTGGGGGCTGTCCGTTCCGCCGCCCCCCTCGTAGGCGGGGTTAATGTGGGAGGACTGGTCCTGCTGGTTGTTGACCAAAGCCTGGTTGTCATCCTGAGCCCCTTCTGGTGGATCCAACAGGAAATTTGAAAGGATGAATTCGAGTACGGGACGTAAAGGAAATGGGTCCCGAGCGGGAACCAAGAGAGGGCGCAATTTTCCTATCAACAGAGGTTCCTTATTGCCTGTTTTCAACCGATGAGGGGGGGTGCTTCTGCTTAAGGCGGGGTGAAATGTACCAGTTGTAGTGCAGTTTGGCAAAGTGAAATGTACCAGGTTTGGCTCAAGTGAGCCAAACCTGGCACATTCTCCTTGCTGCATAGCAAACGGCTGGCATATGAGTTCACATGTGCACTGACGCTGCCATGCAAACTACTGCAGGAGGCCGGAGTCAGACCACAGACAGGTGTACGTTTGACACTGATATCAATCAACTTGGGAGAAACACAGTACGAAACCTCACAGTCTATGTGGGGTACACTGGTAACTCAATCTACAGGTTTAATATACAATGCGTGAATTGAAAAAACTCTCGGAAAATTGGCTTTATGAAATACGTTTTTGAGGGGATAAAAAATACAACACTCCCCCCAGGCCTTAGCGTCTAGACTATAGCACAGTAAATGCCTGTCTTGCAGTCAAATTAATTTGTCACCTGTCCCGTCTATGATTTCAGATGACCAATTGTGACATCTTGTGACAACTGGTCACTGATGACTTGATTCAGCCAATCAACTTACGCCTGGCTCGCATGAAAGTGAGGTTGGAGCCGTGGCGCTTGCAGACGATGACACAGATGATGGCGATCAGCATGCAGACGGCTGCGACGATGACGACGACGATGATCAGGAGCTGGGAGAGGGAGAGCTCCAGAATGCTGCTGCTCTCTGTGGCACGAGGAGGAAGGACATGCAACACAGGTCAACTGAGAGTATAGTTTGCTTCATTTTTTCGCATCTTTACTCCTTGAATATATTTTGTCGTCTGATTTTCTCCATGTATTTTTGTCATATTCCATACATGGCATTATTAAAATGTTTTACTGAATTGTTGTCGCGAAAACCCCCCCCCCAAAAAATGAACCAAAACCAGGGATATTGCCAGTCAGGCTCTTGCCCATAGCCTGAAACTACGGCCTGAGAAAGCTCAGTCTACATTGATATGGCCTGACATTAAGCCCCACATTTTACAAGAAAAAGCCTGAAATCTAGCGTAAAATCTGGTCTGAAAACTAGCCCCCCCCAGCACACTCCATGCTCGGCCTGCATCAGTGCAATTTTGTTTGGGCTCACCGGGAAGTATCAGACCTAGGAATACAGCTTTGAGATAGACTCAAGCTAGGGTGAAACGGGGATCTTTCAGTTTGTCAAAGAGGGGAGGTGTTGCGTCAAAGGAGACCTTACTCTAGTCAGCACTTTTACTTGAAGTCATTCAAGACAAGCTCTGTAAGCCTAATCGGCAGGGCTGTCTGTGTCGCTTTATGTTAACATGAAACCTAGGCCTTTTAATTGGCTGAAAATTTGTAATATATATTCCACTTGGCCACTAACCAGACGGGGAACCTATGGGGAGCTTACACCTTTGGGAGGGGCTTGGGGAAATTTTTTAGCCACGGTTGATCTTTTTCAGGAGGCGTAGAAACCCTGCAGCGAGCATGCAACCTCAGAAATTGATCTTTTAATAGTTTGATCGTAAATTAGATGCAGATTTTCCAAGGAGAACTCTGATGAAAGAACATTGATATTTCCAAGCTTACCAATTTCCTTGGTCTCAAACTCCATGCTAACCACCTCGCCCTTGCCCAGCTTGTTGTTGGCCCAGACGTTGACCTGGTACCACGTTTCCGGATCCAGGTTCTTGAGGCCCATGGTCCTCTGTCGGGTGAGGGGGACGGATCATTTCAAGACTAGGAACTTATTGAATCAGACTGCATCTTAATTAGAGATCACTAAATAAATCACGGCATGAAGATTTTGGTGATACCCCCCACAAAACGTCGTCCACACCAAAATGGCCTTGACAGTGATCATAAAACAGCCTGCTCTGACTAACGTGAAGTCTCTCAGTGAGACCCCAATGGTGCCTAGTACATGTACCTGCCCTCCTTCAGGCTTGACGTGAGAGTCCAGTCAGCACTGTGCCCAACCCACTACGGCCAGGAGAACACACCACGGCAAATGGCTACCTCACGAGCCTTTGGCTTTCCGCAGAAGCCCTTCCCTGGCGCCATAGCCGAGAACTCTGCACACAGCCTGATACTACACGGTCGCATTCAAGCCTTTACTTCCAAATGAAGCGTGGCATGTTGTGACGGACACACGCGACTGAAATGACTGACTGTGCCTAGCCACTGAGAACGTACTCCCAAAGCATTTAAAAACCTCCCTGATCTCCAAAACTGCCCTCTATGGCAACTAGCTACATGTAGGTCAGACAGTCTTAGGAACATTTTATGAGCCAGATGGTTTGGGGTAGTAATAAGCAAGAAATTCCAAGTGCATGTTTCTATTCCTTTTGCGCACAAGTAAACCCCTCAACTGCTGAAAAATAGAAAGGCAAGACAGCCACGAACAACACTGGCTCACTGCATCCAGAACCAGTGAGCTGATCCGCAGACGTGTGGCATTACTCATGCCTACTCCATACGTGCAAACTACACGTTTTGCTAAACCAAAGACGGAACACAAAGAGCATAAAGGATACTTCCCTACATCCTCAGAGGTCAATCTACTGACCCGGGGCATAATCCAGGAACAATATGAAACACAATGCCCTCTTCTGAGCGTGGTAATAGAACTAGAAGTCATGTCGTCAACTCTCATTTTCAAGAATACACGAATTCAGCCGTCTGAACTTGGGTTTTTGGCTTGACCACACCACGGGACTAGATTTTTCAAAGACAAATGTGCCCGATGGATGTGTCGCCCATTTTAGGAATACTGCTGTTGGGTAAAAATTAAGCTCTACGTCTTTTTCAAATTATACCTCACTGGCCTCGATGTCCTCGAAGACCGACCACTCAGAGACAGTGGGCTTGATCTGTCGGTACTCCAGCTGGAAGTTGGTCACTCGGTAGCCGCCATTGGCGATGATGCTCCACTGGACCTGGGCAAAGTAATTGTAGGGGGTGATGGTGACGCTGAGGGCCGCTGGGGTTGTCAGCTTGGCTGGGGGAAAACACAAAAGACAGAGAATTTAAAGATTAATCAGATTGATTGATCTGGCAATCAGGAAGTGGACGGCTGCCCTGAGTCAATGCCAGCAGACACACTAATCTGCACCCAGTGTTGTATTCGAGTCCCTCCACAAGGCCAGTCACAAGTCACTCCACAACGCCAGTCACAAGTCCCTCCACAAGGCCAGTCACAAGTCCTATCACAAGTCCAGTCACAAGTCCCTCCACAAGGCCTGTCATAAGTAACAGGGTGAACAGTGACAAATGCATGCTTTTGTCACAATTCATTTGAATAGCTTGTGAACTGGCTTAAGACTGAATGACCTGTGATGGACTTCCAGTGACCTGCAGGGTCTGGTGATGGACTTCCAGTGACCTGCAGGGTCTGGTGATGGACTTCCAGTGACCTGCAGGGTCTGGTGATGGACTGGAATACAGCACTGTCTGCGCCACCATTCTTTATTTACTCCAACTCTATGAAGTCTACGTAGACTATCAGTTGAACTTGAAGCTGCATGTTTTGGTCAATACGGCTCCATGGCGATGTGCCCTAGCTTAAGTGTTGCAGAATAAGAGGTTGGGTAAGGAACGACATAAAAAATGACGCTGTTTACATGATTCTCAAAATTCAGTATTTGTGGAGTTTGGCCGCGTGTTGCATACTAGAAGTTGACTGCTCAACTTGATTTTTTTGGGAGAGTCCACATTTTCCAAGCTGTAAATTTCTTGCTTACTGTTAATGCTGATCTGCACATTCTTTGATTTCTCGCCTGCCTTGTTGGACGCGATGCAGGTGTAGCGATCAGCATCGGCGACGTGAAGGGCACGGAACTTCATTAGGCCATCAATGACCTGTAGAAAATATGCCAACACAAATATTAATAAGCCTTCCAATTAAAAAAAAGAGAGCATTCCCTGAACGTCAACAGGACGTAGAGCGAGGAAAAAATCTATCAAGCTTGATAGCTCCCTGTCAAGTAAAGCCGAAGTGATGGCTCCGAGGAAAAACATCAAAATAATTTGACGGCCATGTGTAATGCAGAGCACCGTAGCCCAGGCCAAAGCGCCAACGGAACAAAGTTCACCCTACCCAAGCACATTCAAACCCATCCCCTAAACCCCACCTACCAAACCCTGCCCCAAAACTAACCCACCCAGGCCACCTCCGTCGAATTTCATTCAATTTGAATTAATCTCGATCATTACACGAAGTTTAAATGCACTTCAATCCAATCGCTCCCTTCCAATAATCCCAATTCAGAACCGACACCAACCAAACACAAAAATGTGTATTTGCCTGCAACTGGGGACCCCCTATTGTTCCTGTTTTGTTTGTACTTAAAACTTTTTTACAAGACCACCCATATGTTTCGTACACAGTTGTCAATCGGGGACCCTCTGCCAATCGGGGACCTTATTGTCCTCTATTGTTCAGGGTCCCCAATTGAATGCAGAAACGAACTCACACCCCCTATTGCCACAACACACACCCAACTCAAAATGAAGACTCTGTCCCAACACACCCAGCACAAGCCCTCCATTCTGAAATAACGTCACCTGTAAAAAAACTAAACCCAAAAGGCTTTACGCTTTGTTTGTTACACGAAGGCAGTCAGGTGGGACACGACCCACCGATCCTGGGTAAGTACCGAGCCGGGTTGTGTTGACAAGAAACTGTCATGGAAGTGGCTCGATCGGTACTATAGTCATCGCAATGCTAAAAATACTGCCATGGGGGGGGCTCTGTAAGTAGCCGGCGATAGCCTTACTTCTCTCACAGGATTCACCTGTATTGTTCATCCCAAAAAATCCAAACAACCACATCATCACATTTCAGAGCGCTCTTCATCTCCTTTTCTCTTACCGTCCTATAGGTGTTGTTCAGGACGTGGACACCGTGGCGATACCACTCTATCTTGGGCGGGGGCACTCCTGTGGCCTGGCAGAGTATCGTCAAAGCCCTGTGAAAGTCGCCGCGTACGGTTCGAGGCAAGGTGGGCTCAAATTGGACAGGCACTGCAGCACAAGAGACAATGGGACAGAGATTTTCAAACAGTTATTAGAGAGTTGCCTTGTACATTCAGCAGCTGAAAGTGTATACTGTGTAACCCACATTCTCGTAGGGTAATGAAGCCAGAGCTAATTCCAGGCAGACGCAGGTTCAAACTCGGCTGCAGCCGCTCACATCTAAACAACCATTTCACAACCCCAAAACTAAAATCAACAAAGTAACATGCAACCTTCATTCACGATAACCTGTATGCATTCTTTGACAAAGAGAAGAGAGTGACTCATTTGTTGCAGTGGACAAACATTTGGTTCGAAACATTCATCATGAGCCATGGACTGGACAGGATGGACTTATTTTCCTGTATTAAAATAATAACAGTGACAAGATATTTTTACTTAGTGCATTATATCATTGCATGCAAAAAGCACAGATTGTCAGTAAACTTTACAGATTCAAACAAACAAACAAACAAACAAACAACCCAACAAACAAACAAACAAAAAAGAATAAAATAACATTATGACCAACTTCAAAAACTAATTATTAACATACGTTCATAAGGCATTAACACTACATTAAAACACAATAAGCCATTTGCGAGTTAAATTTGAATAAAATCTGGTACACTGAGACCTGTCGTGGGTTATTGTTTACATTAATTATTACATGAATGTAAAGTTGATTGTGTCTCCAGTTAATGCTGGATCTGCATTTGGAAGGGGTTCACATTTGGGCAACTAGGACTCGACTCTGGGATGACTCTTACTGAAATCCAAATTGCTGCTAATTAACACATCCGTGTCTGTTCTGAAGGTACATGTACAAGCATATTACACCCACTGGTGGCAACCGGCACATGACCTGTGGCTGGACTGGAATCTTCGACCTTCCGTCACAACCGCCAGGTCATTCCATCTCTTGACTTTTAAAAATAACGCTTCACTCGCACGCATTGTTTTATTTCAAGTGTAAATCCCCAATCCGGTAGCAAGCGGAAGTAACACGTACTAAGCTTTAAAGAGAGAAGTTTGCGGAAGTACATGTACTCCTTTTCCTGTTTTTTTTTCCCCCAAGTTCTTCTGTCCATATTTATGCACCCACATTTCCATGCATATCGTTTTTTTTCTTCTGACACAGACTTAAAAGGTTTCTCTTGATTTTGAAAACGGCTAAATATTTGGTGGTTTAAAAAAAGGGACTGGGTATTGGACTGGATATTACTGTGTCTACCAGCAGGGGGAGGCAAAGTCCATGCCAGGCAGCTGGCTTCCGATAACTGCAGCCATGAATCAACCTTTAAAATGCCATCTAACCTTTTATCAATTTCCATCCAATGCTCCAGAGCCGGCATGGTGATATCGAACAAATTACAGGTTTGGAGAAGAGCAATTTGAACTTGTTCCAGAAAAAGAAGGCTACGTAGCCACTGGACGTCATGTGACTCACTTGCAGGAAGTGTAATGTACGCAGAGGGTCAAAAAATAGCATATCCCTGCGTCGAGGCTTGCGTCAAGGCTGAACTGATCATGGTGAGTCAGACACATGTACAATGTACATCCACAGAGATCTGTCGCAGGGGTGTGATTTGGGGAAAATGAAAAATCCACCAAACATTCGTCGGAGGGTTTTGCAAGTCGGCCACAGCTTCCCTATAATTCGCAGCATATCTAATTTGATTATAGGAGGAGATCCAGGCACTACATGTAAGCAACCGCAAGAGCTGTTCTTACTTTGAGGGATACAATTATAACATTTACTGCAACAAAACCCTTGTCCTCATTCACTTCAATTGCAATTAGCTATAATTGGTAACAATCAAAGACCAAGAAGTGTAATACACACACACGCAGTTATCAGTGATCCACAAAATTCTCTCATATTATGTATGTATGTATGCGTATGTATGCGTGTACGTAGTCACTGTGTCTATCAATATTCATACATTGTCACACGCGCATGCGTGGATTAGAGCATTGAAAGTTGGGTCAGACCAGTTTTGAGAATTAAATGAAGACACCTCACAATCGCAGATCAATTGATGGAGTGGACGCCCTAATTATTCCACTAGCGTGTGCTTTGTCCTAATTAGCGGGACATAACATCTCACAATTTATTAAAACTGAAAACTGTCTCATACAGATGAGTACTGCGTTACTTGTGACACAACGTGCACTTGCAGCACCCAGGTTTGTTGATTTTCATGAGAAAGTCACGATAATATATCGATTTCCCCTTGGTTAATTCTCTGTCCACCTCGGTTTCCAGCCAGGAAAATTTCCAAGAATTCTTGAATCCTTTGTCTACATTCAGATCCCCTTCCCTACCTACTACTTTGTATGACATTTGTGAAGGACGCCAATGACATCAGACCACCACGAGAACGAAACAAAATGCAACGGCAGACGGACGAAAGTTGTACACAGTGCATGCAACGACAACACGTGTACCGTGCATACACAGTGAACGTACGCAAGCAAGTATAAAATATTAAGCAAGTAAACAAGCTGAGCAAGCAAGTATAAAATATTAAGCCAGTAAACAAGCAAGCAAGTATAAAATATTAAGCAAGTAAACAAGCAAGCAAGTATAAAATATTAAGCAAGTAAACAAGCAAGCAAGTATAAAATATTAAGCAAGTAAACAAGCTGAGCAAGCAAGTATAAAATATTAAGCAAGTAAACAAGCAAGTATAAAATA